ACATTTTGTTGATTGACTTCATTACAGAGTTTGTTGTCCAGTCTTGGTAACCATTAAACATCGCTTGGAGAAAAATCACAATCAGAAGGAGAATAGCAAGACCCAGGTTCTGTTTGTCGGGAGTGGGTTCACCGAGAGGTTTCCAGGCAAGAAAACATATCAATGACGCAAACCATAGCAATGGACAGAAGCCACCGAATGAGTATTCGAAAAATTTGATAAACAGTTTGGACTCGGGTGGGGAGATTATATTCTTGCCGTTACGTTGTAACCTACGGGCGGCCGATGCTGAAGAAATCCCCGACGAAATGGAAGTGGCGAAGCGAAGACCAAGTTCATTAAGGGTCAGTTTATGATAATTAATGTCGAGTTCATCCTTTATTCTTTTATCATCGACTTCGATAGTCTTCGTGCGCGCTTCTTCGAGCTTTATTGTAAGTGTCTTGTACTCAACGCTGAGTTGAGACGAGTGCCTCTTTAACTGTGGGGTCGTGGGAGAAGCAACCTCGATCTCTTCTCTTTGTCGATTTTCCGACATCGTTTAAAGGGATTTTCTTGCACAGATAATGAAGGACTTGATAATCGAATGACTTTTCGGTATATGATCCAACCAGTCCAATTTATATGTGATGGCCATTATTAGTAGATGTGCCAAGAGGTGCCTAGCCAAATTCATTTTCTGTCGAAGGCCGATCGATCGGATATCATCCCTGTGGAACCAAGAACAGCCCTTTTACCTCAATTTAGATTCACCAAACAAAAACTTGTTGTATCTCGTGATGTTGTAGAATTATAACGATTATTTTTGGTCAACATGAACCATACACTTCACCCTATTAATGGCAGAGAAATAACATACCTCAAAACCTCATGACTTTTTGGCGTAAAGCAAGGCTGTAATACATACATTGTTGTCATGGACATTCTTTTGTTGTTTATTGAAATTGTCAAGACCGGCTTAAAAACATGGTGTGATGTCATAAAGTCAAATCGGGTGCTGTCTTATGAAAGAAACAATATCTGATATCCTCAATAATTAAATGTGAGGGAGTATGATTTATGATTATCATTATAACAATGCGCATCGGTATGAACAATTAATTATCGCATGCCCATGGGAATCCGTGGACAAAGGAGTGATTATTTCTTAGGATCAACGGTTTCACAATTTTACTATTACCAGGGAACACACGCACACGCATACCGAATCTATGCCTTCCGAGCTAATTTTAGCAACGTTTATCTACAGCAACGTCTATTGGCTTGTCCAAATTACGACATACGTAAATTGTGCCATCTTGGGTAACACGAAACATGTTGACGTCCGGGGTCCTTGAACATTCTCCTATGCTACTGTTGCAGTTACGCACGATTACATCATACTTAATATTGTCAGCACTCGCAACAGGCTAATTAAAAAAAGGTTTATTGCAAATCATATCCGAGAGCACGTGTTACAACACCAATCCACAGATTGTATTCTAACCCGACAACATCATCAATCTTACTGGCACAAGGTGTAGTTAAGGGTCCGTTTGTGGGTACCCTTTGCCTTTTCCAATGCATCCTCTTTTGCATTTTTTCCCACTCTACACTTTCAACTTCATGTGTGAGTTGGTCTATGATAACTTTTTTGCATAACGATGTGACATTGTTTCATTGAATATCAGTATGGTTTACAAAGTGTCTTCCACATAATAATGACTATAACTTTATAGTCAATTATACCAACGAAAACAGTGTTACGTAATTGTTGTAGATCGATTTACGTAATAAATACGATGTAGAGATGGGACGACTTTTTATGCTAATTAATCTATTCCGATAAGGTACCCAGGTCCCTTGACCATCTCTAATATTATTGCATGTTTATTATACCCTTTTTCGTACATTTCGTAGAAAACGTTACCTTTCGGTTGTGCTTACATAACAAATATTCTATCCCGCGTTAGGCATACTGTGAAGAGAATGCCATAGAGATGTAAAAAAAAATTTTTACTACCGAATTGTTAACGTATTACCTGGTACAGTACCAACATAACATCTCCCTCGCGCAGCATGCTAGCGAAAGATGGCACCGCCGCGTTACCGATTGTAATTATTTTATTCACGAAAGAGCAATGTTATTTTTAATTTTATAATTAAAGAAAAAGAGAATAACAAACTAATTGTGCAAGTAAGTTGATGCGAATATAATAAACGATATAATAACTACCAATATTTATTGGTGTAAGATAAGAAAGTGGTTGCAGTTTAGAGTGTTTTAAAATATTTAATATTCTTCAATAAACATCCATGGCACTTTTTTCGTTATCCGAATCAATGTATCGTTCAACAACGAGTTTCTCGGATTGATTAGTAAAGATCTTGTGTGTGGCGTGGCTTGTATCCGAAAAAGGCTTATGGCGTCACTAATTAGCCTCATCTTAATTTGTCGATCTGTCAATGAAAAAAGCACCATCTGATCTTCACTTCTTTTTTCGTCGTTTTTTAAAAAAACTAGACAATACAGTAAAACATGTCACTTGTAACGACCTCAAAATTGCTTTTCCGCGGCACTACTTTGCGATACAATGTCCTTTCTGTGAGGAATTCGTTCTAATTATCAAATTACAATTACACGATGCACATATCATTTACTAACTCGTCGTATTCAGGTCCCAGTCTACACTATCCGCACTTTGAAATCGTCAGCATCGGCAGAGTTCGCAGCAGAGGCAGCGCCTTCGTTTACGAGTGAGCCGATAACTAAGAAAGAACCTTTACTCAAAGACTTTAATATTTATCGCTGGGTGCGTGATGGAGCAGTCTTGATCTCGTCCGTTCGCATTTGTTACACTGTTGCTCACTATCTCTTCCCGTTGTCTGCTTTGCTCGGCTCTGAATAGAACCCCGATAACCCAACAGAGCAACCTCATTTGCAAAAGTATGCGGTAGACCTCAATGCATGCGGTCCTATGGTTCTTGACGCCCTCATTAAAATTAAGAATGAAGACGATGCTACGCTGACGTTCCGGCGTTCTTGTCGTGAAGGTATCTGTGGATCATGTGCCATGAATGTTGATGGAGTGAATACGCTAGCATGTTTGTCTAAAATCGAAAGGAACAATAAACCTTCCAAGATCTATCCACTACCGCACAGTAAGTAATTCTGTCCCGGTAATTCGTCTCATTACCATATTTGGCATGAACGCAATTGACACTTGTCTATTTAGTGTACGTTGTCAAAGATCTGGTGCCTGATCTGACACATTTCTATAAACAATATAAATCGATTGAACCATACCTGAAGAAGAAGACTCCTCCTAAAGAAGGTGACCGCGAGAACCTACAATCGATTGCTGATAGAAAGAAACTCGATGGACTATACGAGTGTATTTTGTGTGCGTGCTGTTCAACATCCTGTCCCAGTTACTGGTGGAATGCGGATGAGTATCTTGGTCCAGCCGTGTTGATGCAGGCGTACAGATGGATGGCTGATACGAGGGACGACTTTACCAAGGAGAGAAGAGAGGCATTACAGAATCCATTTTCAGTATACCGATGCCACACTATCATGAACTGTACGAGAACATGTCCAAAGGGATTGAATCCTGGTCGAGCAATTGCTATGATTAAAAAAGATATGGCGTTTGATTAA